CTTGTGCAAAATTAAAGAAAATTTTGCAAAATTTCATTCAAATATTGCACTTTTTATTTACGCTCTCTAGAAAAAAGTTGAGTATGCAGTTTTTTAGCCCATTCAATTTTAGTATAACAAAGTGCAAGTTTGAGGTAGCTGGGACTTATCATTGATTTATAGCAATTTTTTTGTTGAAGGTGTCGCTCATTTTCTCCATATAAAATAATGTTTGATAAATTTTTTATATTATATATAAGTCCTAGCTTCCTCAAACTTGCACTTTGTTATACTAAAATTGAATCTGCTAAAAAACTGCATACTCAGCTTTTTTCTAGAGAGCGTAAATAAAAAGTGCAATATTTGAATGAAATTTTGCAGAATTTTCTTTAATTTTGCACAAGGTTTGGAACTTTGAATTTTGAGGTAGAACTAACCATATTTTTATAAAAAATTTGCGAAAAATAAAATATTTAAAAAATAGTTACCCATATTGTAAGAAATTCGCTGTACCTAAACTTTATTGACTGACTGTATGTATGTACGTATTATGTACTAAAAAATGGAATGTTCTTATATATGTAGGTATCTAAGTGTTTATAGACAACCGATAAATGTTAACTCTGATTGACAATAGGTAGATAAGCAAAATGCTAAGGCGTTTTTGTTTAAAATATATTTTATTTACATGAATTCAGACTTCATTATTTACATGGATTGTGTTTTGAATGGCTAATGTTATCTTTCAATGAAGCCGATAATGTTTAATAAATCAATTGTACATTAATTGCATCTGCATCCGCTGCATATGTATGTATGTATGTATGCCATGGTTATTTATGTATGTATGTATGTACATATGTATGTACAAAGCATATTTCATGGGAAAGCTTAAATAATACACGGTACTATATGTATATGTAAGTATGTATTTACATTGAAGAATTGCTTATATGTATGTAGAAACAGGATATACATAATGAACAAGCCAAACCTAATCTACAGGCTACGCGTAAATAAGATCAACAATATTTACAGAATTACAAAAAAATAAACAAATAAATAAATATCTAGTTAAAGACATACAGATAGATTAATCTACTTCGTAAGCTGTGATGGTTGAGAGAAGTCGAGATCAGAAAACCAATTTTCCATACTGTATCTGTCTGTCTTTGATGCCCTTTCCCAAACTAAAATAATACATATATACAAAACGGATTGTAACGTACATACTTATCCGCCCAAACGCTTTCCATAGCCGCATGGCCATATCAGACCATATTCCATATACTATACGTCCGAGCACGCCGCTCTTCTTCCGCTATCTGCTCATAGTCGATTTCCAGATACTCTTTACCGCCGAAATTTACCCTACGGCCAGTGTACTTCTTGATGTAANATAGCCGCATGGCCATATCAGACCATATTCCATATACTATACGTCCGAGCGCGCCGCTCTTCTTCCGCTATCTGCTCATAGTCGATTTCCAGATACTCTTTGCCACCGAAATTTACCCTACGGCCAGTGTACTTCTTGATGTAGCTGATGTGTGCCGAAATTTCTTTGTCGTCGATCTTGATTTTATAGGATATGCTTGTGATTCGTTCAATAATTTGGCCTTTCTTCCAGCGTATTTGTGTCTTACGGAAGCGCTCTCCATACATTACCCAATCTCCCACTTGGTATTCTCGTTGTTTCATACAGGATTTGATTGGCTGGACGGGTTCCACTGCTTGCCCTGTGGTATCGTCTTCATCGTCTGTTACGTAAGCTATTGCTCTCTCTAAAGTTTCGGTAGCAGCTGGTATGGCATCTGGCTGATCAGGTTCTTTGAAGAATGAAGTCTCTCCAACGGAGAGTTTGCGCTGTTGACGTTTGATGATTACTTTCTTTTTAATTTTGCGTGGCTCTTTAGGTTCGGTTAATACGATGGCCGATTCAATGGGACGTTCTTCGACAGTCTTCATTTCGTCATCAAGAATATTTTCTTCTTCGTTTTTTTCGCATTTTTCCGCTACCAAATTACTTGAAAGCTGAAGTCTGTGATTATCTTCGTCTTTTTTAGTTTCTATGCCCGCGGTTTTGTTGGATGTCTTATTTTCAGTGGCGTTATCTATGGAGCTTTTCCGTATTATTCTTTTTATTGTGATTTTCTTTTTTGAAAAACTAATTTTACCCGCATCGTTTTCAGCAAAAATTTGCACCGGCTTTACGGGCGTTGGAGTGACCTGCTGCTCTGGCATTTTATCACCTCCTTCGACTTCCGCGATTGGCTGTTTCGAATTATGGTTTAAAATCTCTTTAATATTCTGTTCTTCAGGACAATCGCGCCTACTTGAAACTGTTAATGTTTGTACAGGACACAACGTGTTGCCGTTAAAGGAGGCTGACGTATCCAAATGTGTAGTGGAGCTGACTTTTTCTGTACCTGCCAAAGTTGCAGCGCTATTTGATGCTTCAGAGCAACTGATCAACTGCCCAGGATCTGCATTAACTCCTTGACTGGTTGGTTGGAATTCCAGATCAATGGGTTTCTTCGAAACGTCTGCTAATGTTAAAGCTGACCGATCCTCGCTAATGCATTGATCATTTGCCTTTTCTGTAGAAAACGTTATTTCTTTTGCTTTGCTTAACGGTTGCTTTTCTGCGTTTATTGTGTGACTGCTTGCCTCGCCAGCCTGCAACTGACTTGCCATCGCTGCCATCGCTGCTGCCACCATTTCACCGTTCTCATCACTCAACTTCGTTGATGACCGCCAAGTATTTGTCGCTATTGATAATGCCTGCTTTACCTCGGATTTCGTTTTGTCTAACTTATCGCCACTGTGCAACTCTGCATCACCAATTGCGCTTGCAGTTGTTAATTGTGTTGACAACAACAAATCTGACGCTATTGGCACTTCGGTTTTAATTGTTGCCTGCGTAGCCGCAGTGTCCACCACCGTAGTTATTGCGCTGCTTTTTAAATGTGTCGTTGTAGCAGCATTTTTAGTACGATCATTATGCTGATTTATATCCACCTTTGATGTTGTTGAATTTTTTTTCACGGGCGGTCGTTTCTCTTTCACAACTGTTCCGTTATTTTTTATTGGTGCATTGCCGACTGATTCTGAAAAGTTAATTTTTCTTTTTACTATGGCTTCGGAATCCGAAGGCCGCCTTTGTGTTTTAATTGCAAGGGGAATGGCTATATTGACCGGTGGGTCAATTTGCGAACCTTCAATTGCGGCGATAGAGGCACGGCGAGCGTTCTGTTTTGGTTTTAGTATAAGCCTTTTTTTTGGCCTTTTTGTTTCGTTTGCCGATATATTCGGAATATGTGGTTCAGTTGCTTTTGACTGAATTTCCATTGAAGCATCTTTAGGGTTGCAGCTTTTAGTTTCTACTTCAGCAACGTCAATAACTGTATTATCTCCCGCAACAGGTTTCAGGTTGGGCTCAGCGGATTCCAAAATATTATCTTCAATACATCCGTGAAATTTCTCGGAAATGTTTTCATTTGAAGTCATTGAAAGTTTCGCAGAACTTTTTAAAGCCAAATTTTCAATTTCTTGTGATTTATTTCCGTTTTCAATCATAGGAATCGAAGTAATATTATCGTGATCCTTTATTCCGCCTTTTTCTAAATTTATTTCTTCACTTGGCACATGACAATTATATTCACAATCATTAGTCTGGTTTGCTTCTAGTGTTTCGCATTTTATGTCTTCCTTTAATTCACAGGTTTCCCCTTCATTGAACACGCTTCGGCGTCGAATTTTTTTGACGAAGCGAAAACTCACTGGACCTTCATCCTTTACAGTTGTTTGGTCGGTTGTAAGTTTATGCGAATCCAGTGATGTTGAAGAATCATTCGGTTCGCATAGAGGCTGATCCGTTTCACCACCCTCATCAGTACTGTAGTGCTTTAGCACACCCTTTACTTCGTTCAAAGCCCCCGATATTCGCGCTCGCAGTCGATTTAACCGTTCGATTGGATCTTCCTGCTTATCTTGCGAATATTGTGAATGCATTCGCCTCTGTCGCCGCAGCAACGTCCTAGTTGGCAGCACCGAATCCCTTAGGTCGATAGATGCACTGGACTCAGAACGCGACAATGACGCACTTTCCCGACGAGCCTTTCCGAAATTCGCCAACTTCGAAACATCTTTGGCGGCAGACAAAACACTGCTGCCACTTGCTGCAGCAGCCTGTATTTGCTCGTTTTTAACCTGAGTACTACTACCCAACGATCGCAGCGTGGCGTTTGACGCACTTTTAGCATTGTTCATTTCGAACTTCATTTCCTTAAGTGATCCCTCGTCGACAAATGAGTTTTTATTGTCATCCAAGTAAGACAATGAAGCATTAATATTATCTTCTTCTTTCTGCTCTTCAACTTTCGTTATGGTCATTGCAATGTCCGCCCCTCTGACGAAATCATTGAATTCCCCTGCCCGTCGTGATTCGGTTGATGTTTTGGCCCCAATACCATCTAACGACGGATCACTGCTGGCGGCAGAAACGTCACTTTTACCATTCGGCGAAACTCTTTGAGATTTGAGATTGAGAAAATTTTGGCAATCGTTTTGCACATGCTGCGTTGCTGTGGTTGTCTGAGTGGTTGCGCTTTGCGTTTGTATCGGGCAACTCAGTGGCGTCAGCTGGTAGTTACTAGATGTGGATGTTGCTTCATTCGTAGAAAGCGATTCGGCAGCGGGAGGTGGAATTGGTTCTATATTGATACGCGCGATATTCGATTCACATACAACCCGGCCATCTACTAACAGATCCTCCTGCGAAGACGGATCGCGCACTTCTGAATCGGTGAGGTATGCCGACCATGGCTGTTGCCCATGTTCGAAATTAATATCGGAGAGGTTATTAGTTCTACTTGTTTGAGGGTTGGATGCGTCGTCGTCGAAATTTTGCTCTTCCGTCTGTACTGTTATTTGTGCGCTCTTTTTTTCTGGCGCAGCTATTGTTGATCGTGCCTCTGGTGGAGGTGAAGGGGTGAGGGTGTTTTAATTCTATTTAAATTTGAGTTTGTTCTGTTAACTTGTTTCCCTTTATTTTGTTGTTGTTGTTGTTGTTGTTGTTGTAGATGATAATTTTCATCTACTAAATCATTCATATTTTCGTGAGAGCATTGTGTTTCCGATGCTGATCTTGAATTTTGAATCTGCTTGTCGATGTGTGTTCGCTCGCCGCATCTTTTTGGCTGCCCCGAAACGTAGGTATTTTTAGATGCTTCTGTTGCCAATACATCGTCATTGTACGAGCGTTTATGTACATACATAATTTGCTTTTGAACTTTTCGGTCATGTTCACTGTTTTCGAGATTTGTTTGTTTTTCGGTATATATTTCCACCAATTTCTCCCCATTTAAATTTGCATGCATAAAGCTGTTAGATTGCGTCATTGTTGATGACAAAGTGTTATTTTCTTCTCCGCTCGCTGGTACTGCGCGTATTTTGAAAAGTAAGTCTGTTTTCATTGGAAAAACAAGTTTATCACCATAGCCCGTTTCAGATCTTGCTGCGACTAAGGGCGATTGGGTTATTGGAAATTTTCCCGAGTTTACTCCGATTGGTTTTTGTAAATGTAATTTTCCTCCAACTTTGCATGTATATTCAGATGATGTTAGATGAACCAACTTCGAAGGAAATTTTGTGCTGTTTTTAATCTGCGAAGTAGGAAATCTATTTTGGCAACTGATTTGATTTAAACATTTCGGTTCATTTGATATTAGCGCTTCTGGAATCGAAGATAGATTTTTTACCTCATAAGATTTCTTCACATCGTCATGAAAGCTAAATTCCCCGATATTTCGCATATAAAGAGCAAGTCCATAATGGTTGTGCCCCATGACTTCGGATTTTTCTAATGGCGCCCTTGGTGATATGCCCCTATCGGATTTTACAAAAGATATTGGAAAAAGCTGAGACTCCTCATGTGCATAGGACCGAAGAGGAAACCGCGTGACACTCGTTTTAGTTTCCGCCTTTTTGCAGTAACTCTCTTTTGGATGCATTTTGGACTTAGCGTCAAAATCAACAGAAATAAACGCCGACGACTGCGTTACCGAATTGCCATCCATGAGGGACACGAATAAGTTACTTTGATCATTTGGCGCGTTCACTTCTTCAGCATAAGTCAGTGCGGTTGTTGTCGAAGCCATCGTTTTGGATGCGGAACTGCAGGATACATCAAAGGCGGGATGATCTTGCGTATATTTTGTCCCTGTTTGACCTATTTTGCTACTCCGAAAATATCACAAAACAGAGAATCTAAATCCAGCTTGGCGACGGTATATCAGTCTGCGATAGTGATACGTATTATAGGTATGAACGTTTCCAAGATTGGTAGCCGAATCAAAAAATTGTGTACTTGTTAGACCTCAGTACCTAGGTACTACGTTATGCTACAGCGGCTCATTGGCCTCAAATATTTAGACAAATAGTCTTGCTCAGCTATGCCTCGTAATGAAACGAAACGTATCGTTGCAACGCGGTGTAAGGCGAATTTGTGACTGACTGCCCTGCAACCACAAAGAAACTTCGCATTTACATAAATTCAAATGAATGAGTATCCTCATCGCCATCGCCATCATCATCACGTCGTGATTAGCGATGGTAATGATAGCAAGTTTGGCATCCGTTAGCTTAACCATTGGGAAGAAAGCAAAGAAACATGTATTTTCTGTGTACATACATACATACTGTGAGCAAAATAATAGCAGCAAAATTCAAACTTTGGCAACTTATGTTTATTTATTCATTTTTAATAGAATAATAATAATAATAATAAAATTTAGTTCGATCTATAACAGAAACCACATAAATAAAGGTTTCAAAGTTCACAAAAACTAATCAAACTTCACAAAATGTTCCCCAAAATTTCAAACTTTTTATTCAGAATCTTTATAAGATTTGGAAGTATGTAGGCAATTTTAGTATAATAAAGTGCAAAGTTCAAGTCGTTAAAAATTACCATTGATTATTTCGAACTTTTGTTGTGGAGGGTGTTGCGCATTTGCTTCCGACTTTAACTGATTCTAAGTAACCTAATTAAAGACTCGAGATTTTGGTGAAAATTTTGTTGAAGTTTGATTAGTTTTTGTGAACTTTTTGCAAGCTTTGAAAATTTTATTTATGTGGTTTCTGTTATCGATCGAACTAAGTTTCCATCGCCAAACTTCTTTAAATGAAAAGCAGTCAAAAAAAAAAGTACAAAAGCAAAAGATGCAGTATGTAATCTGCAAAATCTCACAGAATGGGGGCCATGTAACGACATGTTGCATATTGTTAGGCGCGTTGATAGCATACCCTTGGTAAAGCTGAAATTAGTCAAGAACGTAAACCTACCGGTACGTAAACCCGTGTCAGCTGACACGATCTGTCTTACCAAAGCGCCATGTAAATGAAAACTCAACACCGCACAATTTTTCTGCAGTTGTAGCCCGTAGCGCCGAAAACTGCGGAATTTAGATTTTTCCGTGTCAGCTGATTTCTGCCTTCTATAGATGGTTGCCACTTCGCCAGTTTTGCAGATGGTAAAAAAGTTATAAGTTCCTATACAAAATAAGTTTAAAATATTTGAAATTTACTATTGAATAAGGTTTTTTGTTGAAAACTAAGTAGTTTATATTTAGCGTCCATCCATTATAGCACGAAAAATTGTAGTTGAGAAGGCAAGTTTATGAAAAGGCATTGATGAGTGGCAACACTGTAGTAAGCAACACTAAGGGCTCCAGTAATCGACAAAATTCTGCGTATACAGACTGCGTTTAAGTATACGTTCTGCGTTCTTGACTAATTTCAGCTTAAGTCCAGCTACGTCAAACTGATATCAACTTGACATCAAGCGCCTGCATTAGCACAAATTATCAAGGGCTTGATTTGATATTTACTGGGTATTAAATCCGTTAGAGACACCAAAACTGAAGTTTTTCGTCAACAATGTTAGCATTTCTTTCCATTTCCCAATCGATCGCCTGCAGTTTAAAGTGTGTCTGCTTGGTTCATTCTTTCTTTTAGAGTCCTAAATATTCTTTCACTGATTGAAATGGTTTTGATTAAATTTTTAATAACTTTGATTTGGTACACATGATAATTACTGTTCCTATTCATGTGACACAATTCTTAAATAACATTTTGGGAGTTATTTTTTTAAAATTCGCATTAAAAAAAATATAGTCTTTTCGTTTCCATCGTTTTTCTATATCAAAATGAAATCAAAATTAGACTTCTTTAATGCGTCGATATAAGCTCGCATCTTGATGAAAAAATGTGGCTATTCTAATGTAGCTCAAAAAATAAGTTGGATTTGAAACTAGAATGCATATATTATTCGCTTTTTTCCTTATATTAAAAATTTCTTTTTTCTTAATGCATTAAATAAATGACAAATTAAAAGAAATAACATAACAAAACAAAGGATCGCAACTTCCTATACCCAAATTATTTTACGGTCTCCGGGTTTATTTTTTATTTTTAGGGGATTTTATTTTTAATTTCAGAAGATACATACAATACGAAGGAAGATGTATCGCAACTTCCTATACACAAATTATTTTACGGTATCCGGGTTTTTTATTTTTAGGGTTTTTTTACTTTTAGGGTTTTTTTATTTTTAATTTCAGACGATGCATACAATACGAAGGAAGATGTACTCTCGCGGCACCAAGTGTGGGCAACAAAGCTGCCCATAATAAGGAAGTTTTGCAGTTTCTGACCAGCATTTTTGATGAATTACCCGAATTAGAGAAGCAGCTACTATCTGGACCACAGCCGCAACCGGAAGTCAAGCCCAAAACTGCCCCATCAACATCATCTCCCACGTCAACTGTGCGGAAAATTGATCAAACATCAAATCCAGCCATGTCGGGATCAACAGCTCCGGCACCAAATAAACCTCAAAGAAAACCACCAGTGGACCCACAAAGTCCGATGAAAACCAACACAACACAAACAGACAAAAATAAATGATTTACGCGAAATTCTAGCTGTCCAAGTTTTTAATAGGTTCATTCCTTATCATTTTGGACTAAAATCTGAAAAGTGTCAAAATGCCAGAGCGTAAGCAAAATGCGCTCACTAAAAGAGAATAACAGGAAAAGTAAAGGAACGCAAAAAACCAAATTTTTAGTCCAAAGAATGGCAACAACAAA